GCGGGGCGGGGCCTGGCGCCCCCGGAAGCAGACCGGCTCCGGGCCGTGAGCCGTTGGCGGAAGCTTTTTCTAGTTGGCACTGGGACCCCCTCTTTTCAAGGGCGCCACACACGCGCACGCGCACACGCACACAATCAGATAAGAGGGAGCCGAACTGCGGTCTATGGACATGATGGCATTTGTGATGATACATTGTAGCAGGTAGTTTCCTGTCGAAATCGCCTGCCAAATAGCTACACTTTCTCCATAATTATGGGTGACGGCTCAAGTGTCTCATTGACCAAGGGGTTGCTGAGTATTGTTTTCTGTTTTGTTTCCTTCCGTTCCTGAAGAGGGAGGGCGACGGGCCAATTAAATTTGAACTCTAGACGATTGATTTGAAGGATGAGGCCACTGCCTATACAGATGTTAAAATGACTTCAAGACAATTGAGTTGCCATCATCATTTCCAAACCATTTCCTTTCTACTTGTGCCCTTGGTATCAGCTCCTCTTTTTGCCCCTCCCAACCTCGTGAATCCTTGATCAATGATATATTATCTTTTCCTTGAACAAGCATTGTTGATGGCAATATAGATACAAGTGTGCTTAATGCAATTGAATGATGGATTATTATAAACTTTGTAAGAGTCCCCCGATAAAATGATTAATGAAAAATTAAAAAGACAATTGAGTTGATTCCAAAGCCAGAGTATATACAGAGGATAATTACCCAATCAGGATGGCCTTTAGGAACCTGGGCCAAGAAGCTACCCAATGTGCAGGCGTAATATTCCAGAATAAATGTCGTTTATCAAGACCAGAAGCCCCATTAGGTAGCTGGCTTAGGGAAGGGGGTTGTCCCTCCCCTACCTGTAAAGGGCCCCATAGAGGAGGTTGGAATGGAGTCAGACAACCATTGGACAATCATTGGACACCTATGGGAAAACCTCAAACTGACGGACCCCTGGGCACAGTAAAAACCTAAAACCTAGCCTCCACCCTAGGTACATCACACAGGTGGGCCAACCAGTACCTTCTACCAGGCCTCCCCAGCCAGAGTTGACAAAAGCGGCCAGCTGCAGGAAAGCCAAGTTCTCTTTTTCAGCCTGGTCTTTGGCAGGTCAGTGGGCGGGGCCGCACCCGGGCCCGTCTGCTCTTGCTCCCATTCTCTGGGCCTCCTGGGCCTGGGATCCTCCAGTTCCGCACACTTGAGTGCTCTTTTCCACGTGGTTTCCATGCCCCATTGTGAACCCCAGCGCGGCTACCTCATGGCTTGGCACGCTTTTCAGAAACAGCATGTGCCCCTTTGAGACTGTGAACCCTGAAACTGTCCCTGTCCTTCATGGAAACGCACTTGGATCACAAAACGTGCTTCGGGGTGAATGCTTTCAGCGTGTGATGCAAAGAACCAAGGGACAACCCAGTCCAGACACCTAACAGCCCCTCCTCCAGACACCATCTCGAAGGGCTGTTGCTGGCCCACCTAATTCACAGAACTGCCTAAGCAGGCTATTGTCCAAGGAAAATACTAAATAAACAAACCATGGAAACCTTTAAAAACCTGTGCAGGACTTTGGTTCCGGGAGATCATGTTGTTGGGAGCCCAGGTCTGGGATTGCCTGTCACCATTCCAGAGACCAGATTGATTCGAGAAACTTTTTATTGGAAATATTTTCCTATTATTTATTTATTTTTGTTTCTTGATTCATTTTTTTCTGTTCTAATCTTTATGATTTCTTTTTTCTTTTTTTATCATTTTATTAGGGGCTCATACAACTCATCACAATCCATACACACATCAATTGTGTACAGCGCATTTGTACATTCATTGCCCTCAT